AAAAAATCGTATAAAATCGATATTTCACATTTTAAGTGGTATGTCAAATCAAATAAAATAGGAGTGGATGAACAACCAATTCAATTGCTAAAACTAGAAACCTTTCAAAAATAATCAGATGAAAATTTGACTGTTGAAAAGATCATAAACAAAAAAGGAAAATAAATGCAGTATTGCACGAAAATTGTGGAAATGCTACAAGTAGAAAATCTTTGGAAGATACTTGAAAAAAAAAAAAAAAGAATGAAAACCCATGAGGCTTTCACGTGCAGTTGTAGGGCGTGGGGTGCACGACGCAATCACATGGGAGAAAATGCTTTTGTTTTGGCGTGATGGGTCCCAATCAAAACAAAATTACAGCCGTTCGATTCATTCTGTGCCAATTTGAAACTGTTAGGTGAGGTTAATATTATGATGATTGTTCAAACCACACATAATGACAACTCCGCCTAAACCCAACTGTCAAAATCTACGGCTTCAACGCCCCTATAATATATATATATATATATATATATATATATTCATTAATATGGATATATATGATTAATGCCAATTGAGCGTTAGTGTGGCAAGCTTTTGGAAGTTACGGGTTTTAGGATTTAAGTGTTTAAGCTTAGAATTTTTTTGAGAGTGAATTAAATAAATAAAAATTGAGGAAATTAACAGCAAATTAAAAATTTTAAGAAAATATATATGATAATTATATGAAAATTTGTTTTTTGGATTTGATTAGAATCATTCATGATCAGGTTAGTTGATTTTTTTAAAAAATTTTGCCCATTATCTGTTTTACAAAATTCAAAAGGCTCAATTTTTTAAAATACATTAAACACATTAAAATGATAATATTTTAATATCTTGATTAAATAAACATTTTTATTAATTAAATAATGCTTTTGAATTGGTCTGAATTGGAAAAATCATATACAAGAAACGGTCTTTGAAAAGGTTTAACTTTGACCTTTCACTAGAGAATATAAAAGATTGTTAAGTCAAATTGAGTTGTTTTTATATATAAAGAATTTTATTTATTAAGATATTATGAGCAATATTAAATTTATATAGAAAAATATATTATTATACTAATATAAATTCAGCTAAAAATACTTTGGGAAATAATTTAATGTCACTTGTAACATATTTTTACAGGTCAATTTATCATAATTTACTGGGTGATTATACAGATTTTTTTTTTTTATAAAAAATTAATTGTCAAGGCTAGTTAAGACGAGGGCGAAGTCAGGGGGAGACAGGGGCACGACCCCTAAAACAATTGTAGCTCTCTTATTGCACGGTAACTGGCATCACCCAATATGAACACTTGACTCCCTTCCCATTGAATTTACTATTTAACCTCCTTTATTACTTTTCTGCTTTTGCTTTCGGTTAACATCGAACAATTTTTCAATTTTGGTCTGAAAAACGAAAGTATCTATGAAGCGGAATCTAAATCTGTCGATTGAGAGTGAGCCAAGCCATGATCATTTTGTCAATTTTAGCATGAAAAGTAATGGCACAAACATATGAAAGTTGTTGTATGAAAGAAAATTGTTGATTGCGATCCAAACAAGCATGTGTTTCTCATTAAGCTTATTAGAACCATGATTTTGAAGCCAGTTGATCCCTTGTCCCCACATTGATATTTTATTAGTTTGGAGGTACTAAGTATGTAGCTCGTTGTATTGTAGTGAGAGGTAATTCTATTTTATTCTATAATAAAAATATTTTTTATTTTTAAAATTTGAATTTAAATCTTCTAAATTGATAGTTCAATAGTTTTAACTAATAAAATAAATAAAAGAGGCCTCAATTAACAGGTTGAATTTGTTTAAAAAATTTCAAATCATTTTAGATTTAAATTATATGAATTTGAAACATTTCAATTTGGGATCTTTTGAATTAATATTCAAGTTATTTGAATTTAAGTCATTGAATTCAAATAATTTTGAATCCAAATTATTTAATTTTTAAGATAAATCAATTTAATATTATATTATTTTAAATTATTTTTTTTGAGTTGTGAGAGACAGAGTGTGTGGTGGGAGTCCTCCCACCGTGCCAAAATTTGTATTTTGACTGGATTTTTAGTCGTAGTCGTAACTAAAATTAGGTTCCAGCCCAAAACCGTGATCACTACCACCTTGTCCCTTCAATCTTAATTTAAGAGTCTTTAGGAGAAGATAGTTTTGAAAGAAACCAACTAGTTCGGTTGTTCCTTTCGAAATTAGGCTGCCAATTCCTTCATGAAAAGTTAGGCTAAACTAAAGTTGTTTGCACAAATAATGCAGCCATACCAGAGGCATAACGTTAATGTTATGCTGAAAAGGGAAAATAAAATCTTTTTTCCACCGAACTAATCTTTATATAAAGCTTCAATTTCAATAGATACAAATGCAGAGTCAACTCTCCATCAGACACCAGATTTTAGGATAGGAGAACATGTTTGTAATGTAAGAATTCCATCTGAAAGATCAACAAGCACAAATGACAACCATATCATAAATACCAGCCATGCCTAATTCATTCCAAAAGCAAGCAACATGTTTTACAGGAATGTGGCACTGTCATGCGGGTGGAAAAGGCTGGCTACTTATGGGTGCTCATTAGAGAACCTGACTTGAGATTTGGGGAGACGATCTTACCTTTGCGGTATAATATAAATCTGGGGTTGTGATGCTTTGGCAGGGCACTGCAAGGAATGGTAACATCTTGATGAAACTACGTACTTACCTGCCGATGGGGAAATTAAGTGATCAGGCAAGAGGGATGCAATTAGTTACGTTTATGGCTCCCTATGACAGATTTACAAGGAGTTCGTTGTTCAATCAAACACAACTTTCAAAATGTCTTCATTCTAATGGGGAAAATGTCAGCAAAAATAATTAATGGCAGAAAAATGCCGTATTCAGAAAAAAGAATTTCATGTAGAGTGCAGTTTAGTAAAATGAAAATTATGAAGGAAAAAGCATATCTGTTATGGTATGCAAGCCCAACATTCAAGACCATGGCTACTTAGCATCTCTCCGTATACAAAGAATCGTTCCCCATGATTTCTCTTAGCCTCAATTCCTGAATCACTTCCTCTAACCTGCATGAATTCAACTTTGTTCCATCCCATGCACTCCTGGACAAAATTGCAGCTTTCTATCATGCTTCAAAGCTTTCTTCCTGTATGGTGGATTAGTGTACATTGGTGTCGTATGAATGGCACATTTTTTCACCATAGCTTTAGAGCCTGAAAACCAATAGTCAATCCAAGCTTAATGTTGTATCAAGTGGAAAGCATCTAGCAAATGCATTTCAGTCTAATTAAGCTCTGGCACTGATAGAATGAGTTGACAGGGTGTGCATTCCTAACGGCAAGTGTAAAATCAATGGTCACAGCCTCTGGGACATATCCAAATGAAACAGAGTCAAGCTGCTAAGTAATAAACTAATCTTGAATTTTCTAAGCACTTCTGTGCTTGTCATGGTGCATGGTGGCGTAGGTTAAAAGTGAACCTTATGTTGCAGGCACTAAAATGCAAATTAATTCTCACTCAAGATGTTAATTTACATGGCTTAGTCTATGGTATCGCAAATTAATTCTGATAAATCAATTTAGCACTTTGATCAAATTTTAGTAGCTTTTTATATAAATTTGGTAACCTTGGATGGCACTTTGATTGAATTTTGATAATTTTTTACATAAATTTGACAATTTTTTATTAGAATTTTGGTAATATTTGGTAGAATTTTATAACATTTTTTTATAATTTTAATAATATTTGATAAAACTTTGGTAACTTTTGATCATCTTTGGTAGAAATTTAATAATCTTTAATAGGATTTTGATAGTATTTGATAGAATTTTAATAACCTTTGTTATAATTTTGGTTACTTTTGATAGAATTTTTGTAATATTTCATACAAATTTGATAACCTTTGGTTGAATTTTGATAATTTTTAAAAGAATTTTAAAAATTTTCAAAGAATTTTGATATTTTTTAATAAAATCTAATATTTTGATAGAATTTGCAACCGTTGATGATATATTAAAAATTATTAAAATTATATTAAATTTTTTTAAAAAAAATTTAGTAATAAATCTTTTAAATTAGGCCACAGAAAAGTATCTTCGAACTCTTTCTTTGTTGATGAAAAAATAATAATTTCATTGAACAAATCAATTTATTTTTCTTTAAAAAAAAAGGAATCATGATCAATGAAACAATCAAAATATTTGTACTTAGACGTTTTAACCTTAGGAGCACCAGATCACTGCCCCATCATTAATCCAATTATTTTTATTCATTTCAAATTTAATTTGATTTTATATTTATAATATTTGAATTTAGTTTAATTATTTTTTTATCTTTTATAACCAAACATAATCCGATTTGATATGTATAAAATTGTATTCAATTTGATTTAAAATTAATAAAATATTATTTTTTAAAAATATAAAATATTATTTTTTAATATAAATATAAAATTTAATAAATATACAAAATTTCATAAATAAATATTAAATAAATAATTAAAAATAATTACATATATATATATATATATACACATCAAATCAAAATGAGTTTTCTTAAAATTCTTCCGGTCTTGAATTTGTTTTTATTATTATTTGATTCCACTTGAAATCTGATTTAAAAAAAAAGTAACCATAAGAAATTAGATCAAATCCATCGAATATAGGGTTGCTATACATAATTCCAACCATCGACGAGCTGCTAGTTAAGTTTGTTGGTTGGTCATGGTAAGTCACCAACTATTTTCATCAGACACAAACACCCATTTTCCCTGTATCTTACACTCTTACTTCCATCCAATCAAACCTCCCCACCTAACCGAAAAGAGGGCAATTACGTCATCCCACCTTCCTTCCGTACCCGCGTGTCCTCGTCACATTCCAAAACGTCACCGCTGAGCAGTAGTCGATGAAAACAAAGCCATTTTAACACGTGGTGGCTCGCTCGCTCTTTTTTGGCACTTCAAATAAATCGCCGAACCTCATTAATTAAACGAGAAAATAATAAAAGAAATAATAAAAGACCCTCAAATTCTCCGCCCATTTTCGTTTTCTTTTCTCGTATAAATTTCACTCTTCCTTCTCTACTCCTTCTCTTTTTTCATTTCCTTTTATTTGAAATTAAATTTCAATTTTTCTTATTTTCTCGGGTGCAAATCCAATGGCTGCGATCTTCCAAGGAGCTGGAGCCGCTGCAGCTTTATTATCATCACCGTCCAATTCCATCGATTCCAAGAAATTCCTTTTCTCTCCTCGTAGATCCTTCTACGGTTCGCTGCATTAAAGTTTCTTCGATTTTCTTTTATTTTTATTTCATTCATTTTATTCTTATTTTTTGAAAATTTGTTTTTGAAATTTGATTTGGTGCAGTAAGGAAAGGGGCGAGCTTTGGAGTGGTCAGATCCGATGGAAGCGTGAACTTGGATTTGAACCCTAAAGGTCGAAGGGCTCAACAATTGATTGCCAATGCAGTTGCAGTAATGACTCTCTCTCTCTTTACGTTTTGAATTTTCAAAGTTTAATTTTTTATTTTGTGTTGTTACTAAATTGATGGTATTTTGTTAATTTTTTAGACCAAAGCTGATAGCTCTACAGCTTCTTCATCTTCGAAATCCGGGTATGATTCTACTTCGATTCAAAGTTGACTCTGGACTTTGTGTTACATTGTAGTCAATTGCTCTATTTTTGTTAAAGATGAGTTTTAAGAAAGTAAAAAGCAACTAATTAAGTGTACTAATATCTGGTGGAAATACGATAGCTGTGATTTTGGTACTGCATCATTAGCATTGATTGGAAATGGCTTTCAAACTTTGCTGCCTAATGACATTCCTCGAAAATGAAATCAACTTGTTCTATTTTTTGTTCTTATTGATGTTTTATTTTATAATTTAATGTAATTTTGTTTTCTAATTAGTTTTATCTCCATTGATGGTCTTCGAATCTAATATTGCTTGTGTTATTTTTAATCATATCATTTTCATATGTATCTATTCTTCACTCTTTTTAAGTATAAAAGAGTTGCCACTGGTACCCTAGTTTCTAGCATGTGCGATTACTGTGGTGTGGGTGTAGATAATTTCCTCTTTAGATGCATGCTTAACAAAGTCTTTAACCTTGTATTTTAGTGTAAGGTTCATGCATTTAATCAGTTCACCTCTCTGTAAAATCAATGCAGTCTCACAAATGAATTTATTGTTGGTATTGATATGTTGTAGTTGGCTTAGTCTTTTCCAATTAGTGCCTTTGTTTTGACTAGCATTGTTCTTTTCTGTTGCAATGCTGCAACTTTTAGGACAATGACTGAGTCTTCTCAACCGTTCTATTATCACCAACTGGATGCCAAGGACCTGTTTGTCAAATGTTGAATGAAAAGGGTGTTACATGAGTGCTGGGTGTATGCATGCATGTATGTGTGGGTGTATGTGTGTATATGTGTCTCTGTTTTTATGTGTTGCAATGGGTTATGTTGCATAGTCAAATTTTGTATTCATACTTGCTATCATCATGCCTTTTGTTATTTTTAGACAAATGTTAGCACTATCATGTCAGTATCACTTATAGATCATACTTTAATTAGATCTATATTGTATCCCCAGTCACGAGCTTTTACTGTTTGAAGCTCTGGGAGAGGGCTTGGAAGAAGAAATGGAGAGGGATCCTCGTGTATGTGTCATGGGCGAAGATGTGGGTCACTATGGAGGCTCATACAAAGTGACCAAAGGACTGGCTACAAAGTTTGGGGACCTTAGGGTTCTTGACACCCCTATTGCTGAGAACTCATTTACTGGCATGGGAATAGGAGCTGCTATGACTGGTCTAAGACCAGTTGTTGAGGGTATGAACATGGGATTTCTACTTCTTGCTTTTAATCAGATCTCCAACAACTGTGGTATGCTTCATTATACATCTGGTGGCCAGTTTACCATACCGATAGTAATTCGTGGACCTGGTGGCGTTGGGCGTCAACTGGGGGCTGAGCACTCTCAACGTCTTGAGTCATATTTCCAGTCAATCCCTGGAATCCAAATGGTTGCATGCTCAACCCCTTACAATGCCAAAGGCCTAATGAAGGCTGCAATTAGAAGTGAGAACCCTGTTATACTTTTTGAGCATGTTTTGCTTTACAACCTCAAGGAGAGAATCCCAGATGAGGATTATATCTGTAATCTTGAGGAAGCTGAGTTGGTAAGGCCTGGAGAAGATATCACTATTCTCACATATTCAAGGATGAGGTATCATGTGATGCAGGCAGCAAAAACTTTGGTGAACAAAGGTTATGATCCCGAAGTAATTGATATAAGGTCTTTGAAACCATTTGATCTTTACACTATTGGTAATTCAGTTAAGAAGACACATCGTGTTCTTATTGTGGAGGAGTGCATGCGGACTGGTGGTATTGGTGCTAGCTTGACGGCAGCCATTACTGAGAATTTCCATGATTATTTGGATGCTCCAGTTATGTGCCTATCTTCACAGGATGTGCCTACACCTTATGCTGGAACGTTGGAGGAATGGACTGTCGTTCAGCCTGCCCAGATTGTGACAGCTGTCGAGCAGCTCTGCCAGTAGTTGCTATAGGAGAAATGGTGATGGCATAGTTAGTCTCGTCATATTTATTTTGAAACTAGTTCTCTTGCAACTTTGTTTTTGATATCTAATTTCCATTTGTTAGCAATATTGTGTCATTTAAAACTTGCAAATGTTCATCGAGTTGAGGCCTTTGTTTGATCTTGTTTCTTGACTGAAATGTCAAGTAAGATCTTTTAGAAATAGTTTCAGGTAGAATACTGCAAAATAACTCTGTACTTCCAGTTGCTATTACTTTACTAAACACTTGAGAGATAAGGCTGTGTAATTTATTTTGTGTAATTCTTTCCTATGAATGTGGTATGAAAAAATGATCTCATTTATTTATATCTTTTTATTGTCTTTAAATTTTCCGTGGTTTTTCAGTTTTCATTGCTTTTGTTTACGTTCAAACTTCAATCAACTCGTAGCTGCTGTTGGATCTCTGCTTTTGCCCCCGAGCTCCCAAGTCCCAAACAACTTGGCTCCACTTGAAGTGGAAGATTTAGCACATGGTAATATACTAACAATTTGGCTGCTTGCAGTCTGGCATAATATCATTGTTGCATAAAAAAGGTATGTTTTTTGCTTCGCCATGGACAAAAAAGTGAAATCTAATCTGTTTGTCAATTATCATTTCTTCTTGATTTTATTACATTAGGGTTATTGAGTTTATTTTAATTACCTTTGAATGTAATTCATTTGCGTTAGATATGTTGATTGTCTTATGCACAAATTTATGCTTCTATGATCATCAAACCAAAGCGTTAGCAGTTTCACTCTCATCACAAAAAGTAGTGAAACATTAACAAAGAATCAATAAATGACATGAAGGTAACTTTCTCAAATCTGATAGACAAAATTTACATATAATCCTTAGCAAGGGGAGTTGGTAATTTATCTGAAACCATAAGATTGGAGGCGAGGAGAAATGTGGTGGTTATTTAGTGGATCCGGTTCAGTTATGTATAGCCCTAGGAAGAGAATCCTTCAGATTGTAGAGTAAGGTAATCTTTTAAATGTTTACAAGATTCTTTACAAACTTATTTACAGGGCTCTAATATCAATTATAGGTGAGAGACAATTTACAGGTGAGAAAAGTGAGAGAAAGATGTATAGGAGGAGAAGAGAGAGAAAGAGTAGTAGAAGAAGAAAAGTGGAGAATGGAGTCTTTATCATTCCTCTTTATCCCATTGTTTTTTATAATATAAAAGTTCTTTTCCATTAATTAAGGTAAGTAACTAATTAATACCTATAGGGTAGGTAACTAATTGTCAATACTTATGAAAGTAACTTTTGACTTTTACAAAATATGACAATAATTTATACTGTAATGAATATATTTGCTTTTTTAGTAGCAATTGTTGACTTGTCGTTTTTTTTATCCATCTTATTGATATTGATTTTGTAGGTTGTCCTATCCTTCTTATATATTTTTAAGATTTATTAATTCTTCATCATTCGGATTGAATGATTGCAGAGAACTGGTCTTGGTTTTGTTTCAGATGTTCTATCATTCTTGGTATTGAAATAATAAATGTTGTGAATGATTTATATTTTCCATATTTTATAAATGTTCCAAAAGATCCATTGCCTATGGTTCAGTTGGTGGCAGTCTTTTTTCATTGTAGGATCTTTGAATGAAGATTCTACGACTGTCGGTGGAAGCAAAAACTTGAGAATATTGAGATTTTATTATTTCACAATGTAAGGTTTTTGCTTTGTTCATCATAGATATTCCTGTTTGGAATAGGTATTGATTAAGGGATGAGAACTTCTTTAAAGCTTGATTAAGTTATTCAGAATTCTTATTGATTTTTTCAAGAAGAGGTCTACCTATCAATTTTTGAAATTTTCATATTTGATAGGATTGAATAAATTTTGATTTAATAAAAGAAGGAATTATCAAGTGGAAGGAAAAATTTTGTACAACTATTTAGCTTATTAATCCAATTTTGATACTTGTTACATTGAATGGTTCATGATCAAGTTTAAATTTTATTTTTGAAAAAGTTCTTGTATTCTAGTATTTTCAAGATATATCATATAATTGTTTTCTTAAAAATGATAATCTGTAAATTTTTCTTGTAATAGTTTTTCTATTTTAAGAAAAATGGTATTATTTATTTTTTGAAATATCTCTTTTAGGTAAGAGAATTGTAACTTTTTCAAACATTAATTTTTTTTAATTTTAATATTTTAAAAGAAAAACTTTGTTTTTCAAAGAATTCACAAAATTTTAAGATATTGTTTATCTTTTCAAAGGAGTACTGATTTTCATAGTAGCAAAAAATTTTGGATCTTACTCTTTTAGCAAGTAACTTGGACACATTGTTTTGAATACAAGTTCTTGAAATCGAGCTTGTTGTTCAGCTTTATTAGCTAAAACTTGTGCTAATTTTGTCATGTTTCTTCTAAAACTAGTTTTGCTTTCAGATATATGGGATTTTCATACATTATTAAATAGATTATATAGATTATAAAAATCTTTTATTTTTAGAGAAGGTTGTGTTCGCTTAAGCAATTTCTCAAATTTTTAAGGAATTTTAGAATATGAAATAGGTGTTCATTAATTTGGATCCTGCAAAAATTAAAAATGTTGGGAACTTGAACAAGTTTCATTATTGATTATAATGAAGGTTGTGGGAAAGAAAAATATGTCTGAAGAGAATAAAGATATCTTGGATTAGGATAAGAGATTGATAGTCTAAAAAGAGTATGATACGATAATTGTGGATTAGGATTTTTAGAAGAAATCTTTTGTTTTGATTGTTTCTTCTAAATGGTGATCTATTGTCCTTGTTGTTTATGATTTTTTACTAAAGGTATTTTATAGATTATTTATCTATAGTAAAAACAATATTATTGTTATTCAAACGAAAGATAGATAATTGTATATAAAATTGTTTCTAATAACATATCACCATGTATAAATAGAAAGTATAAAATTTTTGAGATTATGAATTTTTTATTCATAAAATAAATAAAAATATTTTTTGCTTTATATCCTATTATAGTTTCTTTTCCATCGATTCCTATTACTACAATATAGTGTTTTATTGGCTCCCGTTTTTCTATTAGTAAAACATTAATTCAACAACTACATATAGTAGCTCTAGTGTCAATTAAAACATTTAAAAAGTATGGTTTACACTTTTTAAATTTAAATTATGCTTCAACATAATTATAATACCTTTTTGGTTGATTTTTTTAAAAAGTAATTAATTCATCATTACCAATTTTATATTGGTTAATTATAGTCAAACTTTAAATATATGCTATTCTAGTATTTCTGGAAGAGATTGAGTTTAAAACTGAGTTTAATGAGTTGTAAACTGAATTTCTTGATTTTGATTGTTAGTATCCCTTAGAAAAAAAAGGAATATTTATATTTTTTATACTTATTGATTAAGGTTGAGAATAAAAGATTACTTATGTGAAATAAATGATTGTTCACTAGCAATACTTTCTTTGTCTTCATTATCTCTATTTGAGAATGAAGGTATAAAAGAGGGAGGTAGTAGAACTAGATTGTTACTAGAATTACTTTCTTCATAATTTTTAAAATACAAGTTATTTCTTTATGCAAAAATTTTCATAGATTTTAATTTTCTATTAAAAAGAACATGTTCTATAATACCTTCTAATAAAGTTTTTATAGTTATCATAATTATTCCTAAATGAATACATTTAACTTTAAGATATTTTTGCTTAATTCTCTTGATTTTTTCATTCTTGATTAGAATCAGTAAGTATAATATTGCCACTAAATTTTTCTGTGTCTTTTTATCCTTGGTTTGAATTGTGAAAAGACAGAAAGTTTATAGATTTCATCTTTCTTTAATGATTGTAGTTTTTTTAACAATTCATTTGAAATAGTAACATCTTGTCTTAAGACATTATTTAATTTTATCATTTGTTGTTTTTCAGTAGGTATATTTTTAGTTTTAGAACTAAGTTTATTAACTTTTGATATAGTATTATTATTAGGATTGCTGCTTGTATTAAGCATAAAAATATATTCATAATCATCAAAATTAGAATCTATTTCAGAAATTAATTCATAAATAAATTTGTCTTTAGAAACTTCTTTTCCAAAACAAATTTCTAAATCTCTTTTTTTGAAAGTTTTAATAACTTTTTTAGCATTTTTTTTCCTTTATTAGGACATTGAAGTGTTATACGGCCTTTTTCATCACAAATAAAACATTTGCATTTAGATTTCTTTTTAGAGCTTTTTTTTTAATAATTTTTTTTGTCAAATTTATGCTTGTTTTGCTTCCATTTGACTAATTTATATCTTCTTTTCTTTTTGTATTTCTTTAAATAGGTTTTAAATTCAGATTTAAAACCAAATTCTCATTCATTTTCTAGTATTTTTGTGAATTGTTTATCACTTAATTTACTTTTTACTTACTTATAATCCTTTGTTTTAAGGCAATGTTTTATGATTTGTTTAGAAGCAAAATAAATTCTATTTCTTATAAAATCTAAATAGTCTTTATTTTTTATTATAGGGTTGTGAAGTTTTAAATATTTGGGATACTGTTGATTACTGAGTTCATCCTATGATGATGGTAATTTATGAAAATATTGTTCTTTACAAAATTTGAAATGAGTTTCATCCAATTTTTGGTATCCATGAATATATTTTTTAGAAAATTATTCTACACATAATTTTATTTTAATCAATATATAACTAGTTTCACTGTTTTCATCAACCGGTTCCATTCTTTCACAAAATTTACTTTTTAGTAGATTTGTCAGTTTTTTTTTTTTTAATAAATCTGGTATAGTAGTTATTTGATTTAACAAAGTCCTTTTTAAGCTTTTCCTATTTCGAAGTTTTCTTATTTACGTAAAAATTATTAAACATCTTCTTGAAATGTTCCACAGAAATAATTTAAGAATTTTTTTTTTAGACCAGATGTCTTTGTAGTTGTTTACTAAAATAATCATAAATTGTGCCCAAGCTTCTATGGTTTTTTCATAGTCATTTATAGATATTTTAAAAAGATCTAAATATATTTCTCCTTGAGCTACAGTTCTTTTGTTTAAAAATTCTATAAAACTAGATTGTGATGTAGGTTTCATAATAGTTCTAGAAGA